CAAGCGCTGGCGGGCACGGTCGAGTCCTGCCTCGCTGTCAGGCTGGGGGAGCCGCGCGTTGGCACCGCGGAGGCCTCTGAGCCTGGCGAGGTGAGGGCCCACAAGCGGGCGGAGGTGGTGGAGTCCACGCCGTTGCTGGCAAACACTTCGGAGGAGCGGTCCACGCGGCGCATCCGCATCGACATCTCGCGCTGCGATGGCATGAGCTACCGCACCGGCGGTCACCTCAGCGTCCTGCCCCGTAACCCGCACGACGAGATCGTGAGGCTCGCGCTGGAGCTGGGCATCAAAGAGGAGAGGCTGCACGCGAGGCTCGATGCCACCATTGTGGAGGGGGAGGATCAGTATCCGGCCGAGCTGGGGTTCCAGCCGACGACGCTGTACGACGCGCTGCAGTGGCACCTGAACATCACTGTCCGTCCAGCGAGCCTGCCGCGCATTCTGGGCATGGTGCGGGACGCCGGCGGCATGACCGCAGAGGAGCACCAGGAACTAATGCAGCAGGACAGCGAGATGGTCGCCGAGCAGTTCTGGTGGTTGTCAAGCCTCCTGCACGCCTTCCCACGGGCGAAGGGCAAGATCACGCTCGGCGCCCTCTTCGGCGCGCTGCCCTTGCAGTTCCCGAGGCTGTATTCCATCGCGAGCAGCAACGTGGTCAGCCCCAGCGTGGTCGAGCTCTGCGTGGGCCTCGTCTGCGTTGGCAGCGGCCGCGGGCTGGCCTCCGGCTATCTACACTCGCTGCAGGTGGGCAGCCCTGTGTGGGTGTCCGCGCTCGCCTCGTCCTTCGACCTGCCGGAGTCGCCAGAGGCGCCTATGATCATGGTCGGCGCCGGCACGGGTGTCGCGCCCTTCGCCGGCTTTGTCCGGGAGCGCATTCACCACGCGCAGAAGGGCGCGGCCGGGCAGTGCGGCAAGGCCCAGCTCTTCGCCGGCCATCGGTGCAGCGCGGAGACCCTGCACGCCGGCCTGTTCAAGGAGGCGCTCGACGCGTCGGCGCTGACGACGTACGACGTGTCCCTGTCCAGGGAGCCGGGCGTGGAGAAGCGCCTAGTCACCGACGGGCTCCGCCAGTCGGCGCAGGAGGTGTGGGAGCTGATCCAGAGGCCCGATTGCCACTACTACGTCTGCGGCGACAGGCGCATGGCCGACGACGCTCACCAGGCGCTGGTCCTCGCCATCGCCCGTGGGGGCAACATGAGCCGGGCGAGGGCGGTGGCCTTCATGGATGGTATGCGCGCGTCGGGCAGGTACCACCTCGACGTCTGGGGGGTCGTCAAGCAGGGCGGGAAGCGCCGCTCGCTGCAGAACTGGTCCAAGCCGTGGCTGAAAATCATGCAGGATACATTCGAGGACGATGAGCTGTGGGCCCCACAGCTCGTCGCCCGCGCTTGAGAGAGAGCGATGAGCATTGGTCGCAAGGCGTCCTGGTGGGGGTCGGGAGGACTCGATATCTCGGTGTCTCGATAGGAGGAATAGGAGGAGGAGGACGAGGAGGAGGAAGGAGGCGAAAAGCGACACCCGCGCATGCGGCACAGACGCAGTTCGAGTGCGGCCTCATAGCAGCCAGGGGCCGACACAACGGCCGCCCAGGTTTGCGCCAGGCCAGCTGTGGCTGTGTGGCAGCTGCGTCGGTGCGAGTGGGTGCCACCATATTCAATATTCTTTTCCCCATCCGCCAAGATGATTGCCTCCTTCCCCGTGTGCGCGCGGGCTGCTGTTTGCGGTGCGGCTTGGTGAGGCGGCCAGCAGCCTTGCGCACCGAGGCACGGATCCTGCCAGGCAAAGCGCACGGAGTGTTTTCCGCCGACTCGTCGGGTTGCGGTTCGTGGCGCCGCCTAGCGCGACGGTCGACAACCCTTGTGTCGTCCCCAGCTTCATGAGCGCCCAGGGGGAGGAACAGCAATCACCACCGCCAGGTACCCACAGCCCCGCTCTAAGCCAGGCCCTGGTGAAGACGGCGCCCCTGCCTGCCTTGCAGCCGATGTATGACAAGGTCTTGAGGAGGAGGTGGAGGAGAGGCGGAGGAGGAGCAGGAGGAGGCGGCGGATTGCGGTGGCCGCGCTTTCGGAGCAGTCCACAGCTCGAGTGTGGCCTCACAGCGGCCGGCGGCCCGCACAGCGGCCGCCCCGAGCTGCGCCAGGCCAGCTGTGCTCTTTGCAGGGGAGTGGCCCTCACCTAAATTCTATGAGACGCCGCTGGGAGCTGTTTCGCACCGTACCGTTCGGTGCCGCTGTGCATTGGCCAGCGTGCAGTGCCAGCCCAGTCTCAACAGCTCGCGCAAAACAGAAGAAGATGTCTAACATATCTTCCTCTGGCGCTCATGGCCTCCAAGGCAGTCCCAAAGATGGGTGAGCTGCCAGGAGCCGTTGGTCATGCAAGCAGTTGGGAGTGCACTTCGTGAGTGCAAGTGCAACCGCTCGCTGCTCCAAGACCTGCCAACACTTAGTGCCACGCTGCTCAACGTCCAGCATCGCCCAGGGCAAGCCACGCACTCGTGTCTTTCTGAGCACTTTGCGGACTGCAAGCCGAGTAGCACTGGAGTATTTTTTTCACCGGCTGCGCACGTGAACAGCTACGGATGCTAGCACACTCCGTCGGCTCCCTCCTTTTGCATATGTTTGTAGTCGGCGAGATTCCATCTGCCGTTCTCTCGCCTCTGGCCGCAGAGAGCATAGGTTGGTTCCCCACAAGTCGGGCTGTTGCGGAAACAGTCTTAGTAACCTGATCATCGGCCGCTTCAGGTTGTCGATGTAGCGTCAGTCTCCGCAGCAATGGGAGTGGGTTTGCGCCTGCGAAGATTTATGTTGATCGACTCCAGGCCAGGACATGCGGCACCCGCGCCAGTGCCGCTTCACCAGAACCTAATGCCACGCGTCATCGTCAAAGATATGGCCGGGCACGCGTATGGCTGCGGATGCTCGTGCGCACCGTTGGCATCCGTCTTTCGCATTTGACTAGTTGTCGAGGTTCCATCTTCCGTTCACTCGCCTGTGTGGCCGCAGTGGGCATTGGTTGATTCCCGTCAAGTCGGGCGATCACGGTAACTTTCTGCCTCGAAAGCTCATTTGAGGTTGTCGACACAGCGCCAGCCTCCACAGCATCAGGAGTGGGTTCATGCCCACGCAGATGTCTTTTGCTGCGCCCGCGCGAGTTTCTTTTTACCAGAACCTGCTGCCACGCGTCATCATCAGAGAGATGGCCAGGCGTCTCCAGGCCCTCCCCGCCTGCAGGCTCGGAGGCGCCCGCAGGAGGGAGAAGCGCTGCGTGAGCGCGGGGTATCTGCCCAGCGGGTTACAGCCAGACGAGAAGACATGCTCGTCGTGCTCGTGGGATGTCCCTTGTGCATCCTGGGGGAGGGTGCCCTCCCACAATCTCGTGGCCTCGGGTATAGCTTGGCCGGCGGAGGGCCTCGTGCCCTTGGGGGCTGCTCGTCGGCCCTGAGCCCGTACGCCTTCCAGCGGCGCGCCGCCCCCAGGCAGGCACGAACAGCTCTCGCCCACCCTCGGCTCGGCGGCGCGCGCAGGGGGCAAGTTTCGGCTCGAGGGCCGAGGCTTTCGGGCTCTCTATCGGCGGGTTCGGGGCGGGCCTTCGATGGGGTTCGGGCGTTCCAGGTTCGAGGTTTTCCGGCGTCGTTCCTCGGTGGTGTTCCAGCTGCGGGGTGCGCTCCCGCAGCTGCGCCTCGCCGAGGGCGTTCTGGGGGTGCCCGAAAAATCGCCCCGAGCGGCCACCGGGGAGCGGAGTTAGGACCGAAGAGCTCGGAAGTCCCCCGGTCTTCTGAGAAGTTTTCCGAGCTCTCCCCGGAGACGCAGAGGTCTCCTCAGGAGGCGCGAGAGCTGCTGAGAAGTGCCGCCGCCTCCTGAGAGGGCCTTCTTCTTCTCGGCTCCCCTCTCGCTCGCCGCCGATCGGCGGTGCCAGGCGTACACCTGTCTGTCCTCGGCTTCCTGTGCCCGTGGGGGTCCAGCCGCCCCAGGCAGACGCGGACCAGACCTCGCCTTCCCTCGGCGCCGTCAAGCGCACAGGCATCCTTGCTCTCCTGCGCACTCTGGAGGCCCAGCGGAGTGCGGTGGCTCGCGGCTCCCAGCTCGATCTCGCCCTCCCCTGGATGCTGCCACACGTGGCACTCCCGCCGCCGTCGTGCACCCCTGGGCGTTCCGACGGCCAGAGGCATGGCGCGGCTGCGAACTCGACCTCGCCCTCCCCTGGGTGCTGCCAATCGTGCACATGGCGCCACGTTCGTGCGCGCGTGGGGGATTCGGCGGGGTGCACTGCGATGCAGATCGGGACCGGGCCCGGCCAGGCGTGCAGACGCCGCCTTCTCGTGCGCGCCCGGAGGCTCGGCTGTGCCACGCAGATTCGGCGCATGCCTCGCCGCACGGCTGTCGCGAAGTTGCCGCGCTCATTGGGGGGGCCGCTGGTGTGCAATACCACGCAGATCCACATGGAATTTCGTCTCCATGGGTTCCGCCAGCCGTGCAGCAGTAGCCACTTTCCCGTGCCCCAGGGGGGGAACCGAGTGTGTTGCTATCTAGGTCAAACCTGGATCTCGCGAGCCACAGGCCGCGTCAACGACTCGCCTTTCGCCAAGCGCCAGTCGAAACAGAACAGCGTCAATGCCACCAACGCTGTCACGTGAAACCACATCCAAATGACTCCGGACGATCCGCGGCTGTGCGAAGAGGCTCTCCAGACGTGCCACATGCTCGCGTTGTACTGGGACAGTCAAGTCCAATCGGATAATGATGCGTTCCGGAGGGATGCCCTGACTTCAGGACTGGCTCTCCTCTACTGGTTGCCGACGCGTCTTTGCCCGTTCTACCCGTGAGCATGGCCCCGAAGCTGATGAGTGCGGCCAGCCCCACTCAATGTGACGGGCAGCATGCGGTCCCTGTAGCATGCAGAGGATGCGGAGGCGGAGAGGGGCATGGGTTAGGATGAGCAGGCAGAGGTGCAGCATCCGGAGACAGCAGCAGGAGGTTGTTCCTGCCTCCCCCCCGCCTGAGGACGCCCCTGAACTCCCCCGCGGATCGGCTGCGCTTGAAGGCAACCCTCGACACCATGATGCCCGAGGACCTTCCCATTGTTGTCCAGACAGCTCGACGAAGGCTGTGAGCACCTTGGTCCCCTCTCCCGTCGGCGCACCATTTATAACTGTCATCTGCATATCCGATGGCTCATGTGTCCTCCTGTTGCAGCGAGTATCGAAGACGCCTACGGCGAATCACCGCCGCCCCCTGCCTGCTGGAAGTGCACATGCGCGGCGAAAAATTGGGCCGAAGTCTGGCCAAGCCATTGGACTGTGTGCTCCCCCAGCCGTTGTAGAGCCCCCTGGGGGAACACGGGAGAGGAAGAAAACGGAGAAGGAAAATGAAAAGGCGCAGGAGGAGGATAATGAGGAGGATGAGGTGGTCGAGGATAAGAAGGAGGGAGGGGGACGACGAAGAGGAGGAGTAGGAAGACCAGTACAAACCCAAGACTCATCAACGATGTTGGATCACACCCTCCCTCCAAGCTCCCTCTACACAGGCTCCTACAAGGGTTAATTTCAACTGATGGAAGTGCCCCGGCGGGTGGACAACCATGTGAAAGTCTTGAAACGTTCCAAATTCACCATTCTCAGGATTTCAACGCCACGAGTTAATCTGACTGTTGCATGGTGACGACCTTAAATCGTGCCAGAACGCCGTTCCTGGTATTTAGCATCGCGAATTGACATAACAGTTGCGCCCTGACAGTCTGAATCGCTCGAAAACAGTATTTCTGGTACGTAAACCATGAGAAGCAATGAGACTCTCGCGAATCTTTGAAACGAATGTGCGCGGCGCGAAGGCGAGAGCCACATTTTGAAAACGACCCGCCCTCAATCCGTGAAGCTCTGGCATTTATTCAAGACGAGTGTGCGCGAGGGGGGGAAGGAGGGAGGGAGGGAGGGAGGGAGGGAGGGA